CTTTGGGTAGCGAAAGCAGAAGCCCTTCAACTTGTGCCACTCCATACAAAAATGAAGAAAGAAGAAACGAATGACTTTTAGAAAGACATTTTGGAAGTGATGTATCTACTCTCTAGTATGCATGACCCGAATTAATTGGACGTTCTAAAATTTTTATTAAAAATAAAATAAATGTCTTTCAGTATAAGGACTCTTATGAACTAGAGGTGAACAAACCGGAGCATTATAGATGAAAAATAAGGTATGCAACAACTTTTATGCTACAATTCCGCCATTGCAAACCATTCTTTCAATGCCTTTCAAAGATCTCGTAAGTAGCAATAATAGATTTTACTGCCGTAGCCTTATTTTTATTTGTAGATTTTAATGAGATGAAATTTCACTAGCTTTTTAAAGTAAGAAATGCGGCTCATTAACCAATACTTACCATTTCTCGCCGATACCAATTGATTATCCACCGTAAGCGTTGATGAGAGGCCAGCAAAAATGATTTGCAACAGCAAAATTAAATTTTTATGCGTGCCGATAATTGACATTAAATTATTTTTATGTCGAATCATTTTTAAATTTATGGGATTTTTTTTTGAGATTTCTTTATATTATTTCTTTATCTAAACTTTCACTATGGATACACTTCCTTAGTTTATAAAATTTTTAAGGCAGCTTCGATTTCGTTGTCACGTAATGCGTCATTAATTATAATCGCATCTATCAAAATTTTTTTTGCATTAATTTATGCGAATAATTTATACGCAAAATTTTTTGATAGTCAACTTGAGTTTAAAACACTTTTTCATTTCCATATTGCTTTCATATACATAGATATGAATTTTACTTAACCAATCTCACGACGAAATTTTTATTTTATTACTGTTATTAGTATTTTTCTTTTGGGAGAGAATAAGCGGCCGCTTTTACCGAAATTCGCGGCACAACTGAAGCATCAAGTCAAGCGAGTGGAAGATACAAAAGAATTACTTGGCATTTCTTTCTTAGTTAGCTGCGCCCAACGCCGACGCTGTCGCTAATGATGAAGATGATTAAGGTGCGATGATGATGATTACGATGTTAATTATGTTGCCAATGCTCTAGCAAAAGGTGTTTATGCTATTGCTCTTCCGATTGTTAATGCTTTTGGCCGTTTAGCGATTTCTCAGCTGCTCACCAGCTGATCGTTTGGCTGCAGGTGCTTAATCAAATACTCGTAGGGTTGCGCATGTACGCGAGCACCACCTTCTTTGCTCGTTATGTAGTTGTTGATGAAGTTTATTTGCTCGCTTGCTTTCTTTAACACTTAAAATGAATTGCTCTTCTTCTACTTCTTTCTGCACGCTATGCTGCTTGGCTACTCTTCTTTGCGTCTATCGCGATGCTAGCATTCATTCACTGCTTTGGTTGGCGTTGGACCCTAACGAAATTTCACTAATTGGCGCGAAAGAGGAGGAAAAACAAAAGCAATGCCAAGTGGCTGTGAATATGAAATTAAGAGAGCGAAAATTTGGAAAAAAAAAACAAAAGAAAACACACATTTTAGTTGCTAATGAGTACGAACACAGAAATAGCTGGCGGTAATGCAGAACCGCTCGAGTGTGGAGCTGCTGGTGATTTAAATCTGCGCTTTCTACCTCCTCCCCCAATGAATGAACTACGACGCTTTGGCCAGTGGCTAGTCGCAAGAAAAAAAAGGTGTATACCGTTGCTCATTTAGAATAGAATCGAAATGTTATTGTAGCAGGCGCCTCATTCTAGCCATAAATAAACGTTTTTTTTTTTGGTTGATGGCGCTGGGTGTCCAGGCATCTATTGCAATACTTCTACTATTTCTTTCTATTTATTTTAAATTTATGAGTTTTTTGCTTTTGTTTTGTATATTTGTTTTTTTTTTTGCGTTGGAACTTAGTTTCTGTCAATAACCTGATGCGAAGCGAAGCATGAAAAGTCATAGGCGCTGACAAGCGAATAAGCGTGAAAGGTCAGCGCGGTACATAGATGAAAGGCATCTACGAATTTCAAAAATAAAAGACTTAGGCCAAGAACTTTTTTGCCATTAGCAGAATTTGGCTCATATAATTATTATTATAACTTTTGTGACTCATCTTTTGTGTTATATTAACGGAATCTATATGAGCGGCAATTAGATGTAAAAACAAGTATATTTATCTTCACGCGGAGAAGAAGTATTGATGATATGACTCTGCTTGTACTCAGTGATGTCTGCATAGAAATTTCGGATGAGGTAAAGTATTTATGGGTTACTTTAGACTCAAAGTTTTTGTGTGAAAAGCACGTCTCGCGTTGGATCTACCTTTCTGTTACCGGTACTTTCCCTACAAATCTTTGGTTTACTTCTATTGAAGAACGGTGGGGAGCTGATAGTACCACACCTAAATATTTAGCAAACATTAAAGAGATTATCGAAAACGGTTCATGTAGTGCAAAGTAATCTGGTAATATATGTATGTACAGCAAAAATTTAATAAAATATATATTTCGACGAATTGATAACCCCTCGTTTTTTGAAGATGTTTGGTAGTTGACTTTAGTTAATAATATCAAGTAAAATCATTTTTATTAATGCGTAATCAAGATGAGACAAAATT